GTACTCCAACCTTTGGGTAAGGTTCTGATGAAGAAGGGACACTGTCAACATGTTGAGCATTTTGTTTTCTCCTAGAGAGTGAAATGTCGGAAACTCCATAAATAATATTGTGAGGGGTATACGTGGACCGAGTATGATAGCATCAGAATACTTGGTTCGACTTTATGGCATGGTTTGTCGGTTGATGCGTCCATGGCAACCTTGACTGTGGAAGGGTTATGTGTTATAGAAAGGTATATATACTATGGTTTTGGTAAGTGTTGAAATAGATGTTGTCTAGATTTCTTCAAGTCGGTAGGATGATGGTTGGGTACCTTTAGGCCCATGTGGTGCTGGTCATGAGTCTCTAGGCCAGTGAAAGGTGATTTTGTCATCTTTTCTAAAAGACAAGATTCACATTCATCATCTAGCCTTAGGTCAAATGATCCCAACACTCCATCTTTTTGGACTTGGGCGATGCGTTTCTTGTTAAAGTGCCCAAGATGATAATGCCACAAGCATGCCTTGTCTAAACCATTGGATGAATCAATGTGAAATACACTATTACCTAAGCTATCAACACAAGTCACAGTTTCATACACATCATTACAAGGTAAAGCTTCAAATAAAAAACACCATTTTTATAAACAAGAATTGAACCATTCAAATCATTAAATGAGTATCGAAAACCTTGTCTAAACAATGCATGAAATGAAATAATGCTTTGTGTCATTTTTGAAGAATAGCAACAATTAATCAAATCTAAAATAACATTACTACTAAGCATAAGTTGATAAGTCCCAATCTTGGTCACAGGAGAAAATCGCCTATTGCCCATGATCAGATTCATCTTCCCATGCTCCACCTCTTCACTTTCTCTTAGCCTTGCAATTCAGAACAAATGTGAAAACCACATCCTGTATCAAGGACCGAAGAATAAGTAGATGGTACCTTATTATTTTGAATAGTGTGTATACATGCCGACAATGGCTTCACCTTACCATCCTTGATGTCTTACAAGTATTTGGGGAAACTCCTCTTCTAATGGCCCTTGTCATTGCAATAGTAGTAGGTGGTCTCTTTGGGGTCACTAACAGCTGGAATGTATGAGTTGGCCTTGGCTTTGGTCCATTGCTTGATGACCCAACTTGGGCCTTGTTATTCTTGTTAGCTTTAGCAGCAACCTTTCTCTTCTTTCGTTTGTCTTTACCAATTATGAGAACGAGAGCACTAGAAGTAGTGGAGGGGGATTGACTCTATCCCTTCAATCCCGAATTAGTAGTCTGTAGCAAGTTGTGGAGTTGAGCCAATTTGGTTTATGTGTTGTCTAAATGATAAGCTAATATAAACTAATCATAAAAACTTGGCAAAGAGTCTAGGAACATGTCAATGGCCAACTCCTCGCCAAAATGCATATTGAGCTTAAGAAGGCGCTCCACGTATCTTTTCATTCTATGCACGAGGTTGCAAACAGACTCTCCCATTTTCATCTTGCAAGCCATGGGGGACTTGACCACTTCAAACTTTTCTTGACGGGCTCTCTTGTGGTAATTTTGCACAAGGTCATTGTTCATCTCAAATGACTAGTAGTCCTCACAGAACCTCTACAACTCAGGAGTCATTGTGGCGACCATGATGCAAGTAAATTTTGTGGCATCATCGAAGTTTTTTCTGTAGGAGGCTAGTTGTTTAGGAGTAGCAGTGGCTTCATTAACTTCAACAAGTTTTTCTTCAAGGACATATTCTTTTACCTCTAATCGAAGAGCCATTCTGATGTTGTGCATCCAATCGTACACATCCTTCGGATTTTATGTTACTTTTGAAACAACGTTTTTGTAAACAATTATTGACTTGAGGTTGTTTTGGAAAAATAAAAATTTTACTCTGTTTTTTGGGATGTTACATTATCCAATCCCATTTCACCATCAATTCAATATTCTTAATTTGTGTTTTCTAGGGTTCATGGAGCTTTTTACCCAAATCATCAAATCCATTAATTGGATGATTAGATTGAGATTAAAACCATGGAAATCACCCAAGGAAGTTTAAAAACTAAAACCCTAATTAACGAATCAAACTAATTTCGATATTGGGGTTCACCCAAACATTGCATTCAAATTTTAGAGCCAAAGGAGGATAAATTATACTTAGAATGACTTTGATTCTTCTTTCTTTTTTTTGGACATTTAAATCTCCACTTAAATCAACCCTAGAAGCTCTTGAGAATCAAAAATCACCATTAAAGAGTTTATTTCTTGCAAACCACGATTGGAAGAAGGTACGAGGAGGTGTGTGCATCTTATTTCCCCACCTTTTTCACATTTGATCCCTCTAATTTACATCTTTTGGCCAAAACCCACTAAACCTTAATATTTTAGATTTTAATTTAAGCTTTGACATAATAATTCATTAACCCTCACCTTCTTAACCCTCCTCATTCATTTAACTTTAGACCATCCACATCAGTGCAATGCCAACTAATCTTTCAAATATGTCACGTTAGTTTTATAATAAACTTCTACATCAATACAATATACACTCATTCATAACCGGTCCCACTGACACAAACTATTTCAAACATATTGTTTATTATTTAAAAAATAAAAACAACTTAAGTTTTAAAAATTAATGTTTAATTTATTAATTTGTTATTTCATTAATAGAAAAAACTATATTTAAATCGTTTATGTTTATTAATTACGCCGTGCAAACATAATGTTACAATACATATTCCTTTAGTTTCAATATAAATATATTTTAAATACATCATTAATATATTATTATAGATATAAATTGATAATTTTAGTCCCTTAACTTTGAAATGTTATCATTTCAACTTTTAACTTTCTAAGATTCATATCAACTAATGATACGATCACCATTTAACGATTTAATTATGAAAATCATCATTTATTTAATTACTTAATTAGTTTAAGAACATTATCTTAAATTTTAGGATGTTACATTTACTTATTAATCAGTACATCCAAATAGTCGATTAATGATAAACATTGAAAATGACATGCATCGACACTCGATAATCAATTTGATACGTAATACAAAAAAATCATTATTGATTGTATGTGTGATTATAACTTGATCAACTATACAATGAATTTAACTCTGATCCTTGATTCGATTATATCACATGGGGGCCCTCGTAAAAACACTTAGAGGATCTCATGTAATGGATACTATAAAATATGATTTGAGAATTGATGAATTAAATGGATGTCGACCCAATCAAGTATAGTGTAAAACTCAAAATCAAAATGGAGTCTCACAGTTAATGAACATTTATTGACTCTATATCAGTTAAGGTTTTGTTCGGTCGTTTGTTTGTATATAATGTTTATAAATATTTAACTTCAAGATTAAATTAATCTATTTTATCATACGGTTTCATATAATGGTAATGTTTTACATCAACATTTTGATTTGGTATAAAAATAGTTATTTCATAGTTAATGGCAATGACATAGATATTCTAAAGAAATATATTTGTTATCATTTTAACTATATAGTTATATTCTCTCGCTTTGCACGGGTATTCCCTAATCCCTAGTAAATTAATGTTAGGAGTTAATAACTTTATATTTTCCCTTTCTTTACATGCCACATGTTAGGGTCCCTTAAGAATCATAATAATGGATTCTTATATGGAGAGTGCATGAGAATCACTTTATCAAGGGATATTTCGACAACAAAAGCAATTTCAAGTGGTTAAAGTAATGCTCTATGGAGATGGTTCAAGATGCAAAATGCCAAAAGCATCATATTTTTGTTCGTGACAAATTGCGAAAGTTTTATGTAATGTTAATTGGTCCTCATAGCCGTTATGTAATTGTCGAATCTAATTGGTTACAGAAATTCGGCTAGACATACACAGAAAGGTTTCAAAAGAAATATAGCGCAGACACATGTAATGGTCGATCTCACTCACTCGATAATTGACGAACAAATAGATGGGAATTCGATGATCATAATTGTTAACAAATAAATATAATCTACATAACTACATCTCCAGCTTGACATTTTAGTCTGTCTGTCTCACAATAGTTGCTATGCGAATTGTATATTTATTAGATTTCAGAAAATAATAGGAAGCAATGGTTTTCTATTTTGTAAAATTATTTTTAGCTATTGTATTGTACAACTGTATAAATCATAATTTGATGTGTATGTCTAAAAATGTTGTGTACAAATTATCATCTATTTTCATAGTATGTGTAATTTATATAATTAAAAGATTAACTATAAGTTAAATTCACAAATTGGTTTAAACTTTGAACTTCAATTCTTAAGTCAACAAAGGTTCAATTTTCTAACATTAACAAATAAAAACATGCAAGACAAAAAAAAGGGTCATCTCATAATCTACACTCATATGTTTACAAAATTATAACTTGAGTGGTAAATTTAGAACCAAAACTCTAAAATTATATAATCTAACACTACAAATGATGCGTCAATATCATTAGCGAAAAAGACATTTGATTAATCCACTGAAGATTCTTCCAAGATTTAGCAAAAGTTGAGCTTCTTACGTTCGAATTGGGCCCGTCAATGCCCACTTACATAAGTCAATTTTTTAAAAACATCTTCAATATTTTTGAGTTGCATAGGTCGCCTTCGCCAAATTATTAAAAATGCATGCGAAATATTATTTCACAAGTTTCAACTACATTTGGCATGTGACCCTGCGACCCATTTCATTGGTGACCCTTGTGATATTTTGTAAACGTAAGAACTAAGAAGGATTCTTGAACGTCGATCAAAATCGCAGTCAATTTTTATCATAAATAAATTTATTTAATTTATGAATGTTTTAAACACACAATAATCATTCAAAATACTTGTTTTTTCCAATCCTAAGCTCTAGATTTCTTTTTATATTCTCATCATACCTATCATTCTCATATGATATAACTCTCTCTTTCTCTCTTAGTATATATATATGATGCATAAAGTCATAAACCATGTCAAATTGTCCATCACGTAGTCATCTTAACAAAAGATAGATGGAATTGCAACATGATGAGCAATCATTAGACTTGCTTCGTTCAGAAGCTCACATATGGAACCATATTTACAGCTTTATAAATTCCATGTCACTGAAATGTGCTATTCAACTGCAAATACCTGATATCATCAATCGCCATGGTGCACCAATGTTGCTCCCCGAGTTAGTGGAAGCCCTCTCCATCAACAAGGAGAAAACCCAGTATGTCTTTCGACTTATGCGCATCCTTGTTCACTCTGGTTTCTTTTTAAAACAAAGTATATCCACAACTGGAGACAACGATGACGAGGAAACAAAAGGCTATTTGTTAGCTCCAGCTTCTCAATACCTTCTAACAGAAGAGCCACTAAGCAGTAGGTCCCTTGTGCTCGCCATGTTAGATCCAATATTGATGGATCCATGGCAACACATGAGCAAATGGTTCCAAAACGATGATGCGAACCCCTTTCTTACAACCCACGGGAGTCATTATTGGGATTTTCTAGGTGAAGAGCCGAAGCTTAAACAGTTCTTCAACGAATCAATGGCCAATGATTCAAGGCTTGTTATGAGTGTCGTTCTAAAACACTACACAAACGCTTTTAGAACGTTGAATTCGATTGTTGATGTTGGTGGAGGTACTGGCACTGTTGCCAAAGCCATTGCCGAAGCTTTTCCTGATATAAGTTGCATCAGTTTTGATCTTCCTGATGTCGTTATGGGTTTGGTAGGAAGTAAGAATTTGAGTTATGTTGGTGGAGATATGTTTGAAGCTATTCCCAAAGCGGATGCAGTTTTGTTAAAGGTATACTTTGATTTTAAAGTAACGTCCATTTTCTTTTGGACATTTTATTTCAATCTGTTTGAAGACACATTTGCTAATAATTGGACGTTTTGTTAATGAAGACAAAATTTTCCAACTCACATATGTTGTTGAAATATATTATCTATAGTTATACATTACGTACTAGTTAGACTTAAGGTTTATATATGTGCAATAATAATTATATATGTTAATTGGTGATTTTGGTTTATGAAAAAATAGTGGATATTGCATGACTGGAGTGATGAAGAATGCATAAAGATATTGATGCGATGCAAAGAGGCAATCCCGAGTAAGGAAAATGGAGGAAAACTAATCATCATAGACATGGTGGTGAAGACTCACAAAGAGGACAATAGTTTACTCATGACTCAACTCTACTTTGACATGCTTATGATGACTGTGCTCACAGGAAAAGAGAGGAGCGAAAAAGAATGGGCAAAGCTCTTCCTTGATGCCGACTTTAGCGACTATAAAATAACTCCAATTTTGGGGTTAAGATCTATTATTGAAGTTTATCCCTAGTTAAGTTACATTCTTTTCTATACAACTTAAGTGCTGGTGAAGCTACTAAAATATGGAACTTGTTAATTTGTAATGTTGTTGTTGTTTGTTGTTTCTTTGTATAAGTGTATTTTTTCAACGTGTTTTATTTTATAAATTGTTAAGAATGTCGTAACAGCCTTAAGACAGATAGCGAACGAATTTCAAGTTGCGTGGGACTTAAACATAAGTTCTATATATGCAAAAGGAATAAAGGATCATTTATTTTCAATAGCCGGTTATTGAAATTTGTTGATATCCGACTGCAATTTACATTATCGACAATATATTTTGTTGTCTCTTTTCTATTGTTGTCATTTATTTTCAATATATTAAAATATTCGAAAAGCAAATTCACAAAATCAAATAATTTAAAACCAAAGCATTATTATTTAAAAACCAAAATTATCAAAATTAAACATTCACATTCTATTTCAAAGTATAAATTTTCCAAACTATCAAAATTAAATATTTTCAATTTCCTCCTCATCTTTTGCATCACAGTAAATAGCTTCTCCGTTTCTTGAACTTTGGTCTTCATTTCTTCCATTTTGCATCAACTGTTGGCATCAAGTCCTTTAAATTTTGTATTAAATTGTTGTTATTTGAAATTAATTTCTTGCGTCCCTCCTATGTAACTATGTTGCTGGTCCCAAATGGGTGGGGTGGTGTGTTTTCGCCTCCCACACTGTTTCTCCATCCTTTTGGGTCCTTTTTGTGCACACTTACGAATAAGGAAGACAAACCCGATGTTGCTTCCTTATGTTCGGTGCCAAGAGGGTATTCACTACAAGAAAAATCCTAAATAGCTACGGAAAATTACTATGCAATCAAAATCCGTTGCTATTTTACTACGGAATATACTACAGAATGACTTGTCGTAGCTATTTTGCTACAGAAATGGTTACGGAATTGCATTGTGTAGCTAAATCTTAAATAGCTACGTAAAATTGTTACGGAATCTAAATTTATAGTTATTTTACTACGGAATATGTTACAAAATGGTTTGTTGTAACTAATTTGCTACGAAAATGGCTACGGAATTACATTCCGTAGCTAAATCTTGAATAGTTGCTACAGATTTAAAATTCGTAGCTAGTTTACTACGAAAATAGCTACAAGTTTTTTTTGTTGTAGCTAGTTCTCTATGAAACCTGTTACAAAATCCATGTACGTAGCTAGTTGGCTACATAATTGACTACAAAATAAAAATCCGTAGCTAGTTAGCTATGGAATTAGGATCCATAGCTATTTTGCTAGGAAAATTTGCTACAAAATAAAATTTTGTAGTTAATCTATTATGGAATTTGTTACAAAAGATGAATTTACAAAGTAGCTACGAAATCACAATCCATAGGTATTTGACTACGGAAAATTCCGTAGTCAAGTAGTTACGAAATATGTTTCTGTAGCAAAATATAGAAGATTATTTAAAAATATATATTAAAAATTCACAATTATCTTTGAAAACTCAACAACAAAAATAAAATATTATTTTTAATTGTTTTGAAAATTTAGTTATAACATAATTTCTACATTATAAAAAAAGAATTAAAATGTTTATTTTGATTTTTTAGTTAAAAAGGAATTACCAAAGGGAAATAGCCGCATAAAATTTGTTTCAATAATGTTTCAGCTTGTTTGAATAACTTGGGTAAATTACACGAATTGTCCCTATGGTTTGGAGTAATTTGCACGCTTGGTCTCTAACTTATTTTTTTAACTCGGAAGGTCCCTACTGTTTGTCATTGCTACACATTTGGTCCATATTGTTTGTTTTTGTTACGCGTTTGGTCCCTATCTTACGTAAAAAAGACAATTATTTAAATAGAGAAAAATGATAGAGTAGGTAAGGTAAGGAGAGAGGATGAGATTGATGGTGTGTTTATTTAAATAAATTAAAAAATCAAAGGAAAAATAGACTTTTTATGTAAGACAGGGAACAAACGTGTAACAAAAACAAACAGTAGAAACCTTCCGAGTTAGAAAAATAAGTTAGGGACCAAACGCACAAGTTACCCTAAACCATAGGGATCATTCGTGTAATTTACCCGAATAACTTTTCATTAGGGGCGAATTAGTAAATCCAGTAACCCCAATTTACTACCTCCCAAATTAGAGGTATTTTTGCCGAGTCCAAATTAGGGGAATTGTCGGACATGTAGAGATCTCATCTCTTCCTGTCTCTCAACCTGTTGCCGCTGCTGCTGTTGCTTAGCCACGTCGTCGCTGCTCACAATATTCCGATTTCATTGGTATAAGCATCTGTTGTTTCATGTTAATTTGGTGGAAGCATCTAAAAGACTTTTTGTCGAATATCCATCTTTAGAGAATCCAAGTTCTAGATTAGTTAAGCACTACCATTTATGGTGCGGTGTAAATTGAATTGTGATAAAATTTATGGGGTTGGGGTTAAATCAGGTACCCTCCTTGTGGGATGTGGTCCGTAACTTAAGGGAACTGCTCTTATCATTTCAATCGTACTTTCCAATGATACCCTTTGTCTTGAACACTTGTGGAAGACTGAAAGTTATCAATGGCATCAAGGGTATAATGGGTAACACAAGGAGTTAAAGTTATCTCAAATCATTTATTTCAGATGATGTAATGTAGGATTAAGAGATACATGAAGTGAAGTATCAAGAGGGTATTAATCTTATTTTTGTTATGGATTGCAGAGAAAATGCACAGCAACCAAAGCTTTTAGTGGGGATGATTCTTATTCTGATCTTTGCTGAAGCCCTGGCTTTATATGGTCAATCCAGAGCAGATTAAGATTTCAGAAATCAAGAACCACACGATATGTAGTTATTCTGATTTGGGCAACACGATCTATCTGTTGTATCACAATTATCTGCTCAAGGAATTACACCAAAAGTATTCTCCCATTGCTTACGTGGAGATGGAGCTGGTGGGGGCAAACTTGTTCTTGGTGAGATTTTGGCTCCGACCATGGTTTATAGTCCCCTTGTCCCATCACAGTATGTATTATTATTTTCTTAAATTACTTAATGACCATCAAATTGCATGAGAGGGTAGAGTCAAATGAAGGGCATTTAAGTCATTTTCAGCCTTCGAGGGCCATGAAAAGTTGTAAATAAAACTAGTTGGTCAAAAGTGTCACAGATACCATGGTTGCAAAAAGAAAAGAAGAAAAAGCAAGAGGGGTAATATCGTAATTTTGTTATTTTTCAGGTCTCATTATAATCTTGATCTTCAAAGTATTGTGGTTGGTGAGCAGTTATGGGCTATTGATCCAACGGTTTTTGTGACATCTGAAAATCATGCTCTGTTCATTTCTTTTGAAATAATATGATGAAATGAAACAATTGTCGTATTCGATTACAAGTTTTGTAAATATTATTAGAAAGTTAACAATATTCAAGGGCTCAGTTGACAATTGATTAATTGGAATAACAAATGTCCATCCAAAAAGATAAAGTTGCAAATCATAGGACCCTTTTATACACTTTTAGCGGTGTTTGGGATTCCCTTTTAATCTTAAAAGTCCTTTTTGATTTTAGTTTTGGAAGGTGTAAAACCTAAAAGTTGTTTTTAAAAAGTATTTTGTCTTCAAAAATTGTTTTTAAAATATTTCTTAACTATCATATATCGTTATGGTGTTACTTTTTAGTTAATCATTAGGATATAATTATTATTTGACTAATTTTTTACTTTAATTATTATATACTGATCAGTATTGCTTTATAATTTCATAATATTTTTATTACTAACTTTATTAAAAATTAATTGTTTTAAACTTATTTTTATTAAGGTAATAAAAAACAATAATATTATTTTTATAATATAATAATATAAATAACTTATTAAAAAAGTTCTAATAATATTTACAAAACAATAATATTATTTTTATTAAGGTATGATGATGAACAACCATTTGTCCCTTTGCTGCAGATGATGATGAACATGAAGGGCATTTTAGTCCATTGAAGTGCCCAAATTAGAATCGAATATCCATCTTTTTTTCAACTTTAAATTCATCGTCTTTGAAACGACAATTAATTATTATTATTATTATTATTTTTTCGTATTGTAGATTCTTGCAACTACTTTACCCTTGTGAAACATATAGTTATTTTAAGAAGTTTCAAAAAATATGGCTATTGTTGAAGCATGAATGCATTATCCTTGATAAAAATACATTTTTTTGGAATTTGTCTGACATTGGTGTAAGCATCTGTTATATACTTATTTTTTAATATTTGCGTGACTTTAGTATACGTATATACTTTTAATCGTTATGCTTGTAAGCTTTTATTAAAAGAATGATTTTGATTAATGGTGTTGTTATTATTGATATCTTTCTTGCTAATCTTTTTATTATTCCTTGATTACACCTAGTTTTTGATATTTGCGTGCAGATATAATAAAATGAGCAATAGAAATAGAAATTGGATGTATGAACGACTTGATGATCGTGGTCATGTCTCTCATGTTTTCATTAATGGTGTGAAAACATTCATCGAGTTTGCTTCTACTAAGCAAAGTTATATGGATGGAGATAAAATTAAATGCCCATGCACAAAATGCAATAACAAAGCATATAAAGCAGTTGATGACGCAAAATATCACTTATACAAGTTTGGTTTTGTTCCAAATTATCGGTTTTGGGATAAACATGGAGAAACATCAATGGATAGTACTTCATTAGGGATGGATGATACATACACGAGTTTAAATGAACACCATGAACCTACATATAGAGAACTGGTTATGGATGCAATGGGTCCTGATTTCATGACTAGAACTCTTGATGAGGAGCCAAATTCAGAAGATAAGAAGTTTTTTGATATGCTAGAGGCAGCCGATAGAGAGTTGTGGCCTGGTTGTAAAAAGGTGACACAACTATCTGTTCTAACTCGTCTATTGAATATCAAATCAGAATATCGCATCCCTGAGTTATGTTTTGATGCCATTTGTCAATTGATAAAGGATGGGTTACCGGAGGAGAATAACATGGT